TTTTCCTATAATTAAACACACCTTTTCCCACACGTTTCATAAGGAAGATTTTAAATATATTCATGTAAAAAATGTTTATAAATAAGAAAAAAAAACAATAAATAGAAATAATCATAAATAACATTCTAAAAATCTTGAAAATAAATTATTTAAATATCAAAATTTAAAAACAAAACAAAATTAATTTAGATCAACCTAATTCAATTTGGTTTTTTTGTTACGCTTAGTTTTGGTTTAGGTTTTTTCTTTTTCAATCCAGTTAAATTTTTTCAGTTTTAATTTTATAAAATTAAAATTAAACTAAACCCGTTAATTTTTTCAAAAATTTTATTGTTTTTTTATGATTTAATATTTTTAATTATTTTTTAGTTTTTTTTAATTTAATTAATTTTCCAGTTTTTTCCTCACTCCTAATTAATAGAATCAGTTTTTTATAGTTTTTTTATTTTTTATATAAATAAAAAAAAATGAATATTTTTTTAATTAGTTTACAATAAATGCATGTCTTGACTTTCTTGGTCGGCGCCATGAAGGCCAAAATTTGTGGGTCCGAGAGTTGAGTAATTTTCACAAGTGTGTGCTGTCTGTCTTTTTGTTTTTTTTCAAGCTTGCCTCGTCTCCAAGCCCGCACTTGGCTGGCCTGGCCCTTTGCTGACAATTTTTTTTTTTGACACTCCAAGATTTTACAATTAAGTATTATTATAAATAGTTATTACGACATAGAAACTAATAATTTCTAAGTTGTTTGATGTAGTTATACAGCCACCAACACCTTCCCTGTCTATGTTCTTGACATGTCGTTCCAGAAAATATATTATGCTTAGGATCAGTCATTATAAAAATCAAATTTGCTTGAATGAGAGAGAGCGTACAATCAAATTTTAAATTGTGTACTTGAGGAGTTGTTAATTATCCGATTCGTTTTTCAATTTGCCACCATAAGTTTGAACTCGAGGGAAGGGTGTCGAAGTTAATAACTTGTCGAAATCTTTGCCGAACTTTTGGTATTGAAATAAGCTTAGCTTATGAGCTGTTTGATATCCTAGATTTTGTGGACTCAAAACTGGAGTGACTTTCACTTAATCTTATTATAATCCATAGACCTGACCTCCACCGACCACCTTAAAGTTTCACATAAAATCCTAACTCGATCCTCAAAACCTAGGACCCACTCAAACCCGAACCTTGATACCTTATACCAGGTCTTAGACAGACTTTGGGATGCTCCTGACCTGGTCTTGAATCGACTCGTATGCATCCTAAAAACTCGTATGCCCAAGAGTTGATCGCAGATGTACTACTAAGCGTTATCTCAGGCACCAGCCCCAACATCGTTTTGATCCAAACCCGAGGAGCCATAGACCTAGTCTTAAATCATCTCGGATAGCTTGGACAAGGTTCTAGACCGAACCCCGGACCCTAAACATGATCACGACCAAAATTCCTGGCAACCTAAACCAAGTTCTCATTCAAACCTCAAGCACCTCAAACGTTGTCCTTGCTAGAATATTAGACACCTCAAATTAAAGTGGTCCCGGCTTAAATTTTACAAGCCTCACACTAGTTCTTGCATTGAATCTCGTGTGCTTTGAACTAGGTGCCAATCTGGATCTCGAGTGCTTTGACCTTTTGAATCTGAGCTGACATCGAAAATATTAGATCATAATATAAAAAAATTAGTTTTGAAAACCTTTTTCTTAAAAAAAAAAAGTGGTTTCTGGTTCTCAGAAGTTTTCACAACTTGTTGCTAATTTTATTTTTCTGAAAACAAACGAGTTTTCATTATTTGTTTTCAAAATTTTTGAAAGAAACAATCCCTTTGCTTCTTTTTTTAGAAAAAACATTAATTTCTAATTGTATGAAGAGTGTCTTTACCCAAGTAACTATAAAAACGAGCCCTTCGAGTTTCAAGTAGTTGTTGATAATCTCATGAATTTTAATTACAGATTAAATTCTTAAAACCTTTCAAGCTGAAATGTTTTTCAATCAGGTCACGGCAAAACGATAAGGAAACAAACCACACTTAATAAAAAAAATCAGATCTGCCAATCAGTCTAAAAACTTCCGATCATCAATATCCTAAAAAACCATTAATTAGTAGTTCGATACGTTAGGAATTGAAATACGTTGACTGTGATTTCATTCAAATTTCTTATGTGATTGTCATAGCCGAAATTGGTACAGTACCAAAAGCTGTCCATTGTCTACGAGAAGACCCGTATGCATGAAAAACAAAACAGCCCCACCAGTATTTCCCCGGTCCCCAGACGTTTCTGAAAAGCATCTAACCATATTATGTATTTTGCTTTTTTGCCTTTGCTTTCTACCATACAGATAAAAGCCTGCACTCAAATTAAACACAGACCAGAGCTAGTTCTGCTGTCTTTTTTCTTCTTCCTTTCTTTTGTGGGTTAGAAGCTAGCTAGTATTGCTGTAGGTATATACATTGATGGAGCACAACCTTAGTTCATCAAGAACTGACAGGAAATTAATAGAGAGGAATAGAAGAAATCAAATGAAGGAACTCTACTCCCAGCTTAATTCTCTTGTACCCCATCAAAGCTCAAGGGTTTCTCTCTCTCTCGCGCGCTCTCTCCCTCATTGTTCACACGTTATTGTTGTGTATAGTATAACATGAAAGCTCTTTTAGTTATGATCTTTCTAGCTCTGATCTTTTTTTTGTTATTTTTCTTTCTTTTTTTATTATGGGGATTGCGGTGCAGGAGCCAGTGCTGTCAGTGCCTGATCAACTAGATGAAGCTGCAAGCTACATAAAAAGGTTGCAGACTAACTTGGAGAAGTTGAAGGAAAAGAAAGACAGTTTAATGGGAATGGAAAAGGCAGATTATACTAGCAAGAATAGTGGTAGTGGAACAACAGCCTGTTTAAGATCACCACAAATTAAGGTTATTGAAATGGGTTCCACTTTAGAGGTTGTTTTGATGAATGGCCTGGACAGTCGGTTCATGTTCAATGAGATCATTCGTGTGCTTCATGAAGAAGGAGCAGAGATTATTAATGCCAGTCTTTCTGTTGTAGAAGATACTGTATTCCATACAATACATTCTAAGGTATAGCAGCTACCTAGGTGATAATTTTTTTATTAATTTTGCTTGACAATTTATTTTCTGCACTTTTTAATTAAGAATATTGATTGTTTATAAGTTGTAGAGTTCTTCTGTAACTTAAGTCCTTTCAAATTAATTGTGCAGGTTGGAGATTCTGCCCACAGTATTAATGGAGCT